TGTGTAGTTTTCTTAGTCTCAATTGTATTAATTTCTGCTCTGATCTGTATAATTTCCTTCCTTGTATGAGCTTTGGGCTTGGCTTGCTTTACTTTTTCTACAAGCTTGACATGCAGAATTAGGCTGTTTATTTGTGTTCATTTTGTTTTCCTGATGTGAGATTTCACTGCTATAAATTTCTCTGTTAGGACTGCTTTCATTTCATCCTATGGTTTGAGTATGTTGTATCTGTATTTTTTAAAAAATTGTTGATGTTTAATTTCTTCTTTAATTTCATCTGTGACACAGGTTTTTCAGGACAGCATTATTTACTTTCAATGGGTTTATGGAGTTTTTGAAGGTTCTTTTGCCATTAATTTTCACTGCACTATGGTCAGATAATACACATGGGATAATTTCAATTATTTTGTATTTACTTAAGCATGTTCTATAGGCTTAAATATGGTCCATATTAGAGAACACCTGAGGCTTTTGTTGGTGTTAAGAGGAACATTCTATAAATATCTACTGAGTCCATTTGTTCAGAAGTTTGGTTCTTTTCTGATATTTCTTTGCTAATTTTGTAGCTGGGTGATCTATCTGTGACAATGAGGTATGAAGATCCCCTATTATAATTGTGTTATTGCTCATTTGATTTTCCATTTATATCAATATTCGTCTTATATATTTGAGTGCTCCCATATTTGGTGCATACATATTTATGATTATTATCTCCTCTTCTCAAAGATTTTTCCCTAAAAAAAGTAGCAATTTTCTTTATCTCTTTAGATCATTCTTGATTTGAAGTTCACATTGTCTGTAAACAGAATAGCTACTCCTGCTTTTTACTGGCTTGCTGTTGCATGGAGTATTGTTTTTCATCCTTTGACTTTCAGTCTACGAATTCCTTTTGAGTTAAATCTGTTTCTTCTATACAGCATTTTTTTTTTTTTTGCCAGCTCAGACCACCCTGAGGGTGGGGTTAAGGGAGCATGTGGTGCTGGGGATCGAACTCTGGTCCCTTCTACTTGCCTATGCTTGCCTACACAGGTGCTTTAGAACACTGAGCTATCTCAGTGGCCCCATATGCAGCATATTGTTGAATTTCATTTCTTGATGCACTCTGCTGCTCCCTTTCTTTTGATTGGTGAATTGAAGCCATTTACATTTACAGTTATAACCAATATGTATTTGCTTATCATTGTCACATAATTTTCCTGGTCTTGGTCCCCTGTTTTTCCCTTCTGTTTAATTCCTTGTTCTGCCTGGTGGTTTCTTTTGGTTGTTGTTCTTGGAATTTGGTCACCTCTCTGTCTAGCCTATCTTTAAGTACCCTTCATAGTGTTGCATAGATTTATTTTGGTTGTGGCTAATCGGCATTCTATATGCCTCACTTATTGTATGTTAAATGCTTTTCCCATGCTTGGGAAATTTTCTACTATTCTGTAAATAGTATTTTTATGTCATTTGTGTGGGCTCCTGCCTTATTATTGACACCAGTGTCATATTATTTTTCATTGTGTTATACAGCTGGTGAAACATAGTTATTGTGCTCCAGAAATGTGAAAAGTTATTGTTTCTATCTCGAGGGAATTTTTTGAAGTTTTTATTAAGTGTGCTTCTTTGCTAAGACTACCACATACAGCAAAGTGCGACAAATGAGGTGGCTTAGAGAAAGGAATTTCTTGTCCCCAACAATCAATTATATTCCTTGGCTCATAAGTGCGTAACTCTGATCTCTACCTTCATTTTCACATGAACACACTCCAGGTGTTCATGTCATTGTGCCCAGATTTTCCCTTTTTATGAAAGCACAGTCATAGTACAGTGGGGTCCAGACTAATGACCTCTTCTTAACTTAATCATCTATGAAGTCTCTGTGGCCAAATAATGTTATGTTCCCAAGTACTAGGGGTTCAGATTTCAAAGTTCTTTTACAGGTAAAAAATTCTATCCATAGCACTTTATTTGCACAGGTTTCTTGAAAGCTAGGCAACTATTTCCTTTTTCAAATTTTTGATTTTTTATTTGTACAGGCATGCATACATAATGATTACATTCTTCCTGGGGAGCATATGTAATGTACATATATATCTTTATTCTGTTTTCATGTTCTTATACTCCCCTCCCCACTTTATATCTTAGTTTCCTCCTCTTCTGTAAAAGATCTCTCTTTTTCCTATTACCTATTTTTCACTTTGTTCTTTATTTATATTTTGGGTTTTTCCTATAAAAGAAATGAAAAGATAGTTAAGCATGTGTGTCTGATTTATTTCACTTAATATTATGGGTTCAAGTTGTCCTCCTCTGTGGGTCCTCAGCCTGTGATTGGCCTCCTTTTACTGTTGTGTAAAAGGACAGAGAGTAAAGACTTAAAGGACAGATGAAGCTGACTTGTAATAAGCCTGTCTTAGTTATTTTTCTTGTTGCTGAGTCAAAAACCCAGACGACCAAAGTTTAAAGGGGAAAGGCTTATTTGGCACACAGTCTGTAGAAGTTTCAAACTATGATAGGCTGGCTCAAAGACAGGGTGACATGGCAGAGGGCACTGCAGAGGGGTCCATAGCATGCAGAACATAGCAAAGCAATGAAGGACAACCAGTGCTCTCTGTATCCCTTATTCTTTATTCAGGTTACCTAGGGCAGGTTGCATTCGTACCTTTAATCCTAGTGCCCTTGATCCAAGCATTGCACAATGAATCAATTCCACCTTCATGCACTTCAGATGCAGCCACCTCTAAAAAAGCCCTACTATGACTACAAGAGGCTTTCAGGGGACAGCTAAACACAAGTCATAACAAAGTCCTTTGCAAATTGTTCCATCAGAAAAGTCACATTACCTATTTCTTCATCTATAATATGGGTGATAATAAGTTGCTGAAAGGATGGTGAGCTACATCAAAGAAGTATTCTACTGGCATGTAGTTGAGTGCCAATCAATTATATTATCATTTATTATTCTTTATTTAAGGAGAGGATGGGTCAGTGATTCCTAACCCCACGTACAAGAGAATTATCTCAGAGAGCTTCTTAAAGATCTCTGGTACTCTGGCCCCACTAGAGGTTTTCTGAATTGGGCTCGGATGGGACTCAGGAACTGGTAAGTTTAGAAGCCACTAATTTGCTTTAGGATGTAGAACCATGAGAATGGATGACAAGGTTGAAACATTAATTGGAAATTTTCTGAGATTGAAAATCAAAAGCAGATGGTGATGTGTAGCTAGACAGTACGTGTTGTTTCCAATAATTGATAGTAAAAACAAGATGACATTGCTACACAGTATGTGAATTAGGTGGCCCAGTTTTCAAGCCAATTTTTTTTTTTTCAGAACCAGGGACTGAACTCAGGCCCTTGTGCTTACCAGGCAAGCACTTATTTTACTGAGCTATCTCCCCAGCCTTGAGAGCCAATTTTTGCTCTGTAACATTTTTTCTTAGACCATTGAGAAGGTATCCCATTAAGACACTGCTCTGAGTCTTCCTTCTGGCTCACTGCAAAGCTCCAGCCACTTGTGTGCTCCATGGCTTCAGTAGCAGGTGTGTTTGTGTGTAAGGAATACTACAGAAGAGTTAGTGCTGGATACCAGTTGGATGTGCTACCTACGTTTGAGCAGTGCTTATGACAAAACTCATAGAATTCCCAGAGAGGAAATTTTACACACTCATGGAATGGGGAGGTGCCATCCACTAGGTTAGAGCTACCTGCTCTGAGTAAGCATCACTCCCCAGGCTCCTACTTGTGACCTGGGGAGTTTTATCTCACAGCCTATGTCTCCCAGTTCATCACCAACCTTGTATGTGAAGGGGAGATCTTGAGGCAGCTGGCTGGGAAATGGCAGGAGTGACCAAATGAACTCTTGCTAGTTTGGGTCAGGTCAGGGGTAGGTTTTGATTCTCAAGCCCTTGGCTGAGTGAAGAGGGCAGCTGTGAGCAGCTCTCCTTTGTCACTCTGTCCAGCTGCTCTATTTCTTTGTGAGCAGCCTTGGCTTCTCCAAGCTTTTGGTTTACTTCCAGTGCCGCCTTTGTCTATCTAGTATCAGATACTTGCCTCTCATCCTTTTAAGAGTCCCAGGGTCTCTGCAGTGTTTCTGGAAGATTTCCAACAACCTTTTGTTGAGTGAGTGAATGAGTAATAGTGAAATGAAGTGATATGTAAATAGAGTCAATTTTTAATAACAGTGTTGTATAAATTATCTTATGTTTTTATTGCAAGGAGATTAGGAATGTCCATTTGCTTTTTGGCAAAATTAATAAAAGCACAGAAACTGAAATAAAAGAAATAATAATTCTCTGGACGCTGACATATTTGGAAGAGTGTGTTTGGTCTGACAATTTCCATCCCTTCGATTTTAATCAAGAACATGTCAAAAAGAAGAGCAGCAGTGACAGTTTTCAACACAAAGCAGGAGGTTATATCTCCAACTGGCAAGAAGCATTTGATTAAATTTGAATTGACTTTGACTTTTGTAAACTCAAACTTGTAAAAGGAAAAGGAAATAAAATCCAGACTAGGGAAATCCCTTAGTTAAACCCTGAAACTCTGCACCTGCACTTATCTCAGTATTTATTGCCACTAACTTGCTTCTGGTACTGGTATCTGGAAGTTGTTTTCAGTGGGTGAAAGTGGGGAGTGCTGTCTGTGAACCTAGAGAGCAAGAGCTCCGTGGATTTACGCAGATGCGTCCCTGCTGCATTTCAGATGGAATTGATGTAGTTAAGCATGAATTTCCTGGCAAGTACACATGTAGGTTTTTCCAAAAGGCATTTGAGACCACGAAGGCACAGCCTTTCCATGTCTAATCATGAAAGCAAACCACTGGACATTTGCTCTCTGTTTCCAGTGGGCTGTGTATGTTTTCTTCACACTCCAACAGAAACGTGCCAAAGCGTGACCTTTATGAACCCCTCCAGCTTGGAGCTGTGCATACAAATCTGTCTTGCCTGTAGAGTGGGAAAGTGATGAATGGCGGCTGTTCAGCCTGGGGAGCAGGGCTGCTGTCACTCTGGCATGCCTGCAGCCTTATTTATTACACACCAAAGTATAAAACCACCCAGCCCATCTGCAGTTCTCATTTTCAGGGCTGGCATTTGCCTGAGGAGACCACGGTGCCTGGAGCCCCCATCATCTTCCCAAGGAGGCTCCGGGGCTCTGGTGAAGATCATGCTTGCGAGGCAGCTCATCTGTTGGCACCTGCTGGCTTTGTTTTTTCTCCCATTTTGCCAGTGTCAAGATGAATACATGGAGGTGAGCGGAAGAGCTAATAAAGTGGTGGCGAGAATAGTGCAGAGCCACCAGCAGACTGGCCGTAGCGGCTCCAGGAGGGAGAAAGTGAGAGAGCGGAGCCATTCTAAAACTGGGACTGTGGATAATAACACTTCTACAGACCTAAGAGCTCTGAGACCAGATGAGCTACCGCACCCAGAGGTGGATGATCTAGCCCAGATCACCCCGTTCTGGGGCCAGGTACTCTGAATTCTCTTCTAAGGATTTTTATGAAAGCTGAATGCCTGTTGTTGTTGTTGTTGTTGCTGCTGCTGCTACTGTTGCTTTTTGGACTAAGAGTCCTAGAATCAGTACTTGACAGAAGTTTGCTAAGTTGCTTGTGGTTGCTCTGGGCTAGAAAGGTGATTGCCAGTTTCTGACAATGATGTGTTGGGGTAGAGTGGCAGAGTTTGCCCCATTAGAAAGGGGAACCTGGGCAGCCCGTTTTTGTTGCTCTGGATCTTGATTTCTTTCTTACACTGTTGGAGCAGAAAAGACTGCTGACCAATGTACAAAATGCATCACTACAGATAATAATTTGCTAATCCTAAAGCAAACTGCCTTCCTCCTTCTCAGCAGGGAGAAACTGTCCTTTGAATTTGCCAAAACTGCTCAAATGGTTTTTGAATTGTAAGTTATTCTGACTCATGCCAGTCTTATTTGATTGCTGTATTCTAGGTTACACTGCCCCTGTGTACATCTTTTCAAAAGAAAGAATCAGAGTTTAGCCAAAAAAGACTGCATATTGAAAATTCAAATTATATACTATCACTTGATGTCTCTTGGCATAAGCTCAGCATCTAAGGAAATTTTCTTTAACTCTTTGAGGCTGGTATCAGAATTGATATTTTGGTGCAGCAAATTGGAGATGGGTAAAGCCCAACTTAATTTAAAACACTAAAAACAGGAATAACCAATTTTGACTTACATCTAAGCATGTAGTATGCTGAAATCAGATGGATGGGCACCAAGAGTTCCTTTTAATTGTATGATATTTGTATCAATAGTTGTTACTGCAAGAACTAATGGCTTTTATGCATTAAATAGGTCCAGAAATTGCTCACATGGTTGAAGTCTAAACCACTCTTATGACAGATTGAGATGTTTGGATTTATTATCTGGTTATATGTGCAGATCAGGATCCTGCACAGGAGCAAATCTGGGACTAAGCTGAGACTTCTGACTGGACCAGACAGCACATTTCCCAGTCTTTCTGTGGGGCTGTGTTGAGGGGAAGCTGCTTAGAAAAATAATGCTTAAATGGAATGTCTCATTCAGAGCTCAATCTTTTGTCTAAAGACTTTTGGCTGAGGAATGACTAATGCTGATTTACCTTTTCCTGAGTGACCAAAGCACTTTAACTTTTGACCAAGTCTTAACATAGGCTTTTCATCCCCATGAAAGGTGTCCTTCTTCCCAGACATGACAGTGTGAGGCCCCAGGGGCAGCAGCAGGCAGTCATGGGGGTCATCAGTTATTATTTGGGTGCCAATACTCAGCAGGAAATACAAATCATATATATAATTTCTCCCATCTTCTCATTATGGGCACTTGAAATAAACTTGCTAGAAATTTAAAGTCTCATATTCTGAAAGACTTTTATATAGCTCCTCTATCAATGGATATAAGCACACTCAATTTAGGGTATACTATGTTATTTCTTCTTTCCCTTCTCTCCCCTCTTCTTTCATCTTAATTCTCCTTTTCTCTTCATCCGTCCCTCTATCAATAATCACCAGGGCTTCTACATTGAGCCAAGCTTTAGGATGGGGACCAAAAACATGAACACATCCACACTTTCAGCTCCAAGCCATCTTCAAGGAGATATTTTGTTAATTTAACTGCTTAAGTTTGATCATATACTCTGTGTTAAGCACGATCAGTGCATACACAAAGGGACCTTGAGAAATAAAGCAGTGCTGGTTCCTGAGTTAGATCTTCAAATATGTGACAAAAAGAAAGGCTAATCAGATTTTTAAGTATTAAGAAAGCAAAGAATTTATGGTGGATTAGTGTAGATGGAGATTTGGTGTGCTCACATTTATATTCTCTTTTTTGCCATTTTCTTCTCGATAGTCTCTGTCATTCTTCCTCTCAGTCTCCTGCCCCCTTCCTGGACATTCATTGTCTCCCACCATTTCTCCTTCTTTCTGTTTCTCATCCATCTGCTTTGAGTTGAAGATGAAATGGCAGAGCTTCTTCTTAATAGCAGCACACACCCCTCCAGGCTCTTCTCTGCAAAATGGATGGAGTTGGTCTTAGAGACAAGCCTTTCCCCTCATGCTATTCCTTCACAAAGCCTTAAGTGCACACATTCTACCTATTTTAGGGAAGGTATGATAAACTTAAGAAGGCAATAGTATCAATGTCATATAAGGACTTTGTCGCTTGTCAAAGACAAAAGTTCTGAATCAACACATCCTGTCCAACTTGTTGGGAGGCCATCAAAAGCCTCACCAGCATTGTTCCATTTGACTCAACTTTGAAAGTCAAGGCCACAGGAAGAAGCATGTGAGAAAGAGCGTAGGTTGGTTCTCCATACCCACTTATGAGCAATCAGAAGGCTCTCACTGCATTGGTGGGAGCTTTGTGCTCTTGAACTGTCCCAAAGTTAGTTTACTCATGCAGCAGTAGTCCTAGCTCATTCTAACAATAAGCAACTCTGTCTCCTGGTGCTGAACACTGAACATTAAAAAAGTTAAGTGTCTTAGTTTGCATCTTACAACTAGGAAGAAAACTCATGACTCTTGCCCACTCCTCTAGCATAGTAGAGAAGAAAACTGATGTGTGGGAAGAATGATTGCTCTAAAGTCATGCAGAATTGGGATGGGAATTCTGGTTGCATCCCAGTGTTTATTCTGACATTCTTAAGCAACTCAGTCTTTTTATTCCGTTCTCACATAAAAAGTTCTGTGTCAGGATTTTCCCTCTTCCCCTTCTATCTTTGATTCCAAGTCTATCATTGCCAAAGCTTTGTGGTATAATGCTGTATTTCACATTTGAAAAACCCTACCACAAAATTCAGGAGACATACTTTTCAGATTGCATCTTGGATTGGAAGGTGGGGTGATGCCATGGTGTATTTACTTTCTAAGTGTTCCAAAAATCCCTGTCTTAGCCCAATTGACTTTAGTTGATCTTTTTTTCCTCTATGGACCAGTTTGACAACTGGGGTGAGGAAAAGGAGAAAAGAAGGAAGGAGCAACACACACACACACACACACACACACACACACACACGGTAATCAAGATACTTGTATTACTAATTTCTATTAGTTCGTTGAAAGGAACAGTTGGTGTTTATATAGTTTGACCAATTTTGCCTGCATATATCAGGTAATCTGAGCAACTACTTTGAAGATGAAAACATTCCATATAATAACTATTGTTAGTTTTTATCATCTTGTTTTAAAATTCTGTATTTTTTATTATTTGGGTTTTTTTTCCTCTCTTTAAAATTAAAAAAAGTGGGCTTCACCCTCTATATCTGTCCTGAGTTTGGTGTAGTAGGATCAAGACACGGTGAGAACTGAGGTCCACCTGGAGCCTCTGACCCTGCACCTCTTGGGTTCTGAGCTGTGCTGGGAGAATGCTTGGACTGCAGGTTGCTCTGTGCTTTTCTATAGTAGCTTTGTGGACAGCGTGAGTGGAAGAAGAAGAATGCAAAGGGAAGAAGCCCTCTTTTGCTCAAACGAACAAAGAAACATGAAGTCTCAATGTGCAGCAATAAGAAGTTTTCACCTAGCTTGCTAGTAATGAAGAAAACTGCACTTTTGTATTTTACCTTGCCTCCTCCTTTCCGCCCTCTTTCCTGTCTCTCTTTTCCCCTCCCTTCTCCCTCCATCCTTCCCTTTCTTTTTAAAATTAGTTCCTTTGCAATAGCATGCTATTTTCAAAAGACCACTGAATCAGATTTAGTGTCCAGAAAAGTTTCCAAAAGCATTTTGCATGACATAATTGAGGATAGGTTGCCAAGTTAGATCAGAGTGCGATTTTCATAAGCCACTCTGACTCTCCTTCCCGTCAGCTTTCGCTAGAGCTCGAGTTCCTTCATCGAAGCACACATTTTAGAAATGCATTTTTGCATACGCCAGCATTTTACTTTGTGTCGTAGTGGAGCATAATGAGTTTGAATTTAGTGTTCCTTAAAGATTGGTTCAAATAGCATATAATCACTTTAAATTTTGAAGCAGAATATATAAAGCACATCATACTAAGTACTTATAAAAAAGTTAAAGTTGTTTCAAGATATAAATAATTAAAAATATACTGGACACATAGTTAATAATAATGCTTTACATTCTTTAAAATTTCTAAGGGAATAGATTTTCAATATGAACATCACAAGAAAAAGTATGTGAGGTAGTGAATATATTAATTTGCACAATTTAGCCATAGTATATACAAAAATATACACAAATTCCAAAACGACATATTGTGTATGGCAACTATATATAATTTCCTATTTGTCACAACTTAAATAGATATGTGAATGCACTGGTCTAAAGAGTACTTTATTTCTTTAGTTTCCTAAGGCATTATAAGAGCACTATGGTTATTTGACAAGGCAGTGTTCTAATTTAGAGGTTCTAAATACTCTTAATCCACAGCTTAAGTCAGTATCAGAAACATGGTGCTTACTAGCTTGTTTGAAGGAACTGCTTTTGTAATTTGAGGATCTGTTCAATTTTATTACATCAGACACTACCATGTACTGTAAAAAGAAGTTCTGAAGGAAGTCCAGTTCTGAAGGAGTTTCTGGTTTGCTGTCTTATGCAGCAGCCGCAGGAAAGTACTTCCTAGAAGTTCTGCTCCCTCTTCCCAGTCCAATTCTCATAGCATCCAGAGTGTATACCATTCCGCGGGCTTCCTACTGTCTTCCCTCAGCTCATCCACATATTTCACCTGCTTCTTGGGCCCCGCACCTTCAGTACTCCCAGCCCACACCCAGACTGTCATTTCTTTTTTAATTTTTTTTTAATTTTTTATAATTTTATTTTATTTTGAAGAGCAAAAGCTAAAGTAAGAACAAAGAAGAGAAGCAATGACAGAAATGGAGTAACACAACCATACGTATGTTACAGATTTTCAGAACAAGAATAGCTGGTTAACAATGGTTGATATATTATCTATTTTTATTGTAAAATTTGTTGCTCAGATTAACAGATTCATAAGACTGGACATATATGCATTTGAATTATTTTAGAAAGACCTATGCATTTCAAAGCAATGAAAGAGTTGTCCTAGGTTTTGTCCTACTGGTGCACTTTCTGAATATGTTAATTATAATTATTGATAGGTATAAATGACAAACAGAATGCAAATTTGAAAAATGTTCTTTAGATTTTTTTCTCTCTTTCTTTCTTTTCTGATGTAGTTGTGAATTTGCTGAAGTTAAACTTACTTAAAGGGCAAGTCCAAAAGAAAAGTAAAAATTCCTGATTGCTCACATATGCCTGTCTTTTGAACTTCTCTTTTTTAAGTCTCCACCAACTGGAGGCCTGCCCCCAGACTGCAGCAAATGCTGTCATGGAGACTACGGCTTCCGTGGCTATCAAGGACCCCCTGGACCTCCGGGCCCTCCAGGCATTCCAGGTAAGGATCATAGAGATGCAAAGATACACGACCAGTCTAATTACAGACACTGGTGGTGTGAATGTAAACTGGTAGGACCATTATGGAAAACAGTACGGAAAGTCTTCAAAAAACTAACATTCCATTTGACCCAGCTATTCTCCTTCCAAGTGCCTTTCTGAAAGATTTAAGACTTGATACTACAGTGCTGCATGCATACCCATATGTGTAGCAGTGCAATTCATAGTAGCTAATTCTTGGGAATGTCTTCATATCAACAGATGGCTAAAGAAAATGTGGTAATTATACAGTGTTATAATACTGTCCATAAAGAAGGATAAACGTGAGGCGCTTATAGAGAAATGGAGGCACCCTAAGCCTAAAATGTGAATAAATTTGACACATAATCTCAACTATTTCATCGTTTCTCTTATATGAGAATTCAAAATATAAATACAAAGCAAAATAAATGATAGATAATAGACAGTCAGGAGATATATATCCTTTTCCTGTGGGAAGGGATCAGGACATAGAGGGAAGAGGGAAGGGAGGAGTAATAAATGAAAAAAGAATTGAGATGCTTTAATCATTGTATACTGCAAACATGTACTAATAGAAATAAAGAATGAAAAAAGAAGAACAAAACAAACCCCCCAGAACAGGAGCCAAGGGAAATCCTAACTAATTTGGGATCATTTATGTGTGCGCAAAGGGTATGCATAGAAATTCCAAAAGATTTGGACAAGAGATCATGTCTGCATCTCATACTATGAATAATTACTACGAAAACAGTGATATGCAATGTACTAATTATGGTAACTGTCCCAGTAACCTGTTTTGAAACTGTCTCATTACTATTTCTCATTAAAATAAAAAATTAAAAAAATAAATCTCAAAAGAAAGAGAGTTGGGCAGGAGACTTGAATTTATTAGGCCAGCTCAGGTGGAACACTATATACTCCATAGTGTTAGTTCTCTATTCAAAGTATCTAAAAGGCTCCAAGCACCATGGGTTCCTTACTCATAGGTTGGGAGGATCTTTGCTAATATTGGGCACAGAATTACTTTTATCTGGGACTTACTCTTGGTGCCACTGCAGTAGTCAGCTTTCTGTTCCCATAGCAGGAATCTGAGATAACTCACAAAGAGAAAGGCTTGTTGTAGCTCATAGGTTTAGAGACTGCAGCCCCCGACTGAATGGTATCATTCCATTTGTGTCTGTCATGGGGCAACACATCATGGTGGGAAGTGAAGCTACTCACCTCATGGTGGCCTGGCAGTGAAAGAGCAGAAGATACCAGGGCCCTACAGCTCTTCAGGGGTTTGTCCCCAGTGACCTATGACCTCACACTAGATCCTAACTCATCAGGTTTTTACCATCTCCAGATAGTACCATACTTGGCCCTCTGGGACATCAGTCTAATCCACAGCAGCCAGTCTTTCTGCCACAATGTGCTTTACACAGTCTATGATATCTGACTTTCAGGAGATTTATGAAATAGAGGCAGGAAGAGAGGAAAGTTTACTGGTTTGGATTACAGTCATCTTTATGGTGAACTGTGGTCCCTTCGTTGTGATTCAAAGTCCAGCTAAGCCCTCCACCTTCACTATCAGTGGTTGCTCAGCTGATTTCCATGCCTCATTTGGCTTCATGGAAACGTATCTGAGCTCCAACACCACCAAAAGGCACAGACATGCTCAGAGCCACATTGAGTCTCTAGACCAATAGCACAGCCATGTACACCACACTTCTCTGGTCTCAGGTTTGGAAGCCTTCTGGAAAATAGCTAGTGCACTGGGTTGTAGAAAGGGTGTGCCTAGTCTTCTCTATCCTTTGACTCCCAAACTATCAAGGGTTTACTTGTCTTTCTCCTTAGGTCACTCCCAAGAGATAAAACTTCTCTCATTGCTTGGTTAAAGTCTACTTGTTTGTCACATATTTATCCCCACTGAAGTTAATGTTTATCAAAAGTGGTTCAACTTTTTATACTTTTTTATTGCTTCTCATGTGAATCCAAATTTCTCATAGAAAATTCCTTCCTTAGACTTAAAATCATGATTACTGGCATGGGACCGATGTCATTGCCCATCAAGGGCAGCCTCCCAGGGGGGAAGTGATGTGGACTAGGGAAGATTCAGATTCTTCTGAAGTCATCTCTGAGGTTACAGAACAGGGTGCCTTGGTTAAATATTTCCCAGCATGAATTGACTTTGTCACTAACCACATTAACCTGCAAATGAAGTTCATCTATTTGACAGGATTGCTAGGCTGATATCATGCTTGACAAGTAGTGCATGAAGTAAAACGCAAAAGAATAGAATTCAGAAAACATAAAAATAAGAAAGAGATACAGAAATAGTCTCTTTGTAGGAAAGTGAGGCATTGAAATTGTTATCAAACTTTTACTTTCAAATTAGTATGACTTTTTAATCAGTTTACTTTACCCCAGTTATAAAAATGATACATATCCTTAGTAGAAAACTTCAGAGGAACAGAAAATTATATAGAATAATAGAAAGTCACTTGTTTCATCCATTTAGGGAAAAAAAACTCTAAATATTTTAGTGCAATTTTTCTAGTCTTTTTTCTGTAGACATTATACATACATATTGTTTTCAACAAAATAGTATTGTTATCCTTATTTATTTATATATTTTTGAGGTTATGAGCAGAATATATTTATTGAGGGAAAGAAAGCTCCTGTCTGAGAGAGGGACAGGAGGGGGGCCCGAGTGGGTTGTCCTCAGGATTTATTTATGTTTTTGATGTTAAAATACCATGCCTATCACTATACCACTCCTTCTTCAGTGTTATATTCATCTACTATCATACGCTATTTGTAGCCTTTTCAGTATTGGTGGCTATTTTAATAGTTTCTAATCTTTGCTACGTTAAATAATAGGCAATGATCAGCCTTTCACACAATTTTTCATCCAAGTCTTACTTTATAGAGCAAGTTTTGGGGGCTCAGGATATCTAAGCTACTTCCAAAACTCACTTTTATAAAACAAACTGCCACTTTGATAATGCTCCTTGGCTGTATTTGTGATGAACTCAAATGGTTCTCTTTTCTGATTTAACTGGGACATTTTAAACAAAAGTGACTGTGTTGGTTTAAAAATTGATGATAAATAACTGTGACTGGATTTTCTCATGTAATCATGTCTGGTTATTTATTAAGGAAACCATGGAAACAATGGAAATAATGGAGCCACTGGCCATGAAGGGGCCAAAGGTGAGAAAGGAGACAAAGGTGACCTGGGTCCTCGAGGGGAACGGGGGCAGCATGGCCCCAAAGGAGAGAAGGGCTACCCAGGGATTCCTCCAGAGCTGCAGGTAAATTGTCCTGTCCACACCCATAGGTGATCTCTAAATCTGCTGGACTACTAGGAAGGAATTAAGAGTCAGAAGGCTTACATTCTTCAAGCCTCAGTAATGTTTAGTAAATCTGAGTCTTAATTTGTTTCTCTTAATCGCAGGATGTTTGTGTAAGGCCTATCCTGTAGCAAAAGAGAGGTTTTTTTAAAAAATAATTTTATTGAGAAACAAATAGCAATGAGACAGTTTTAAAAGCGATTAGTAGGACAGTTTCAATAATTAATACACTGCATATTGTTGTCTTCTCAGTGGTGACTCATAGTACAAGATGCAGATATGATGTCCTGTCCACAAACACTATTAGAACAACTCTTTCTATTCATTGAATTAAGAGAAAGTAGCTGCATATCTATCCTAACAATTTTGAATATACAGATACAAAATGGTCCTTCATTTATATTACCATTTTTTGCTTAGTTTTGTCAGAGAAGGGCATTCCATTGCCATTTAAGTATTGTAGGTGTGTGAATTCAGCAAAATAATCCAATATAGTCCAGTAGTCCATAATAGTAGTGGATTATCCGTAGGACTGGCAATATCAGAAGTTGTTGACTTGAGCCTGTTACAGCTCAGCATATTAATATGGGTTTACTTTTTATACCTCATTTTTATACTTTTCTGCTGGATGGTTAAGACCAAGATAATGCAAGACCTATATAACAAGAAATGTAACTTTTGTGTCTGACAAGGTCAGTCAAGTCCCCTCAGGATTTATCCTGAAACCCTGTACCGCAGTTTGTAGATCCTTTGTCAGTGTCAGTCATGTGGATGAGTCATGGCCATTGCTTGAAAAAGAGAGTTTTAAAATAATTTTTAGGGAAGACTAAAACTCACAGACTAAAATCCAACTCCATATTAGGTCCAAATACAGTACAAGGTGACCTAAAATATAAACTCATCTCCTGTTTTTCTGATGAAAAGATAGAGTAAACTAGAAAATTTTGGTTGTTCCAGTAATATTTAGCAACAGAGTTTTAATACTTCTAAAAGTGTTTCAGAAGACTAATATTCTTTGCAAGATATGTTCAGAACTATTAATATATATTGATATTCTAATGTGTTCATGATATAAAAATCTTAGAAAATATTTGAGAAGTTTGTAATTTCCTTCTTTCCCCATGTTTAAGTTATTTCCAATCTTTCTATTACAAATGATGTCCCAATAAAACTTGTATAAAAACTTTATTACCTTAAGATAAATTACTTATTGAGCATCAACTTCTTCCTTAGATTGCATTCATGGCTTCTTTGGCAACTCACTTCAGCAATCAGAACAGTGGAATTATCTTCAGCAGTGTTGAGACCAACATTGGAAACTTTTTTGATGTCATGACTGGCAGATTTGGGGCCCCTGTATCAGGTGAGATGTAAAAATAAATGAGTGATTGAATCAACCTAACAGTCAAAGGAGAGAGAAGCAAGCAGGCAGAGAGAGAAAGAAGAGGAGGGAGAAGAATAATAAAGGAAAGGTTGCAAAGGAGAAAGGGAAGAAGGAAAAATGGAAGGAAGGGAAGAATGGAAAGGCGACTGGGAGGAAGTGGAAGGGAGGAAAGGAGAGCAGAAACTGTCTAGGACACAAATCGTCTAAGGGCCTACAATGCCCAGTGAGTGCTTCTGTTGCGTACAGTGTCTTTACCGTTTCAACCTAAAGATTCAGTATTTTAGAACTGTCTTGACATTAATGTGACCACAATAGCAATCAATAGGCTCCCCCAGTTTTCTGTATAAACCTGATCAATACATTGTAGAACAACTATTCCATCTTTTCCCACATTGACAATGATGAGACAGAGAACACTGAGCTTTACAGTTTTACAGCAGCACAAAGACCAGGAAGCCACAATGCAAACATATGGGCTTTCATTGCCTTAGCTTCCCATGCCAAGGAAAGCCTGTGTAGGTAAAGTACACCATTCAGTTCTGCATTTCCAATTGTAGGGATCTAATTGATTCACCATCTGGTTTCTTAGCCTGATCTTTTAAAACTGTTCTGACACCTATTTTTCATAGCTTTCATCATTTTTTAAGTAAAACATATTTCTCTGTCATTTTGATTCTAACTTTATCTTGCTGAGGTATGGAAAATTATCTTGTGTGTACCTGTGTGTGTGTTATGAAATCTTATAAAAACCTCAACACACACAAAAATTACATTCTTCACATCCTTTAATATCTGGATTTACTTTTCCTCTGTAGGCCAATTTCTACAAATACAAATGGGCAAACTTTTATAACATTTTCTAGCAAATTTAATATATATTTCTAGCATTAAAGCATAAGCATCCTTTTATTTGGTTCAGTTTCCGTCAGAATCAGATGGACCAATGTGATTTCTCTCTCACTTAATCACATCTTTGGAAAAATTCAGACTTCAGTGCTTTTTCCTCTTCTTTTTTATTTGTTTCTGGGATTTTCTCTTGCAAGGTCATTAGTTTTAAATTGTAACATGGAAATCAAAAAAGCTCGATGATTTACATTCTTTCAACTTTCCAAAACACATTCTGAAATCCAAGGTCATTTGTAAAAGAGAAATTTTCCTTTTAGCTTGTCTGTCTGCTGAGGAATTCATATTCAATAAAAGAATTTTTGTGCTGACATTCAGAGGATATTAAGTCATGTTAAATTGTTTTCCCTTAAGAGCCTTAAACTCTTATAAGAAAACACACATCTTTTTAAACATTAGTCTTTTAAATATTAGTAATGCCCAGACACGACGGTGTTGCTATGTTGAAGTTGGATCTATTTACTAAAGTTCACAGATTTATAATGAACATTAGAAATTACTAGAATGAAATTTTCTTTTCTTTCTTCCTTTTCCTTTCCTTTCCTTCCTTCCTTCTTTCTCTCTCTCTCTCTCTTTCTTTCTTTCTTTCTTTCTTTCTTTCTTTCTTTCTTTCTTTCTTTCTTTCTTTCTTTCTTCCTTTCTTTTGAGACAGAGTCTCCCCATCTTCCTGGCTCAGTTTACCAAGTGCTGAAATTACAGGCAGATTCCACCACGCCTGGTAGAACTATTTCTTTTGAATTATGCAATATTTATTGTGCAATTTCCTTATCTTTGGCTGACACTTGGCAAGTATAGTAATGCACTATAATTTCACACTTGGCCAATGTCGGAGGACACCGAACACCATGTGTTTATCCACAGCATTCTGTTTTGGCATTATGAGTCCCACAGTTGGCTTCATAAGTCAACTAGTATTTACGAATGGGTTGGAGTTTGCCTCAAGCCCTGTGTCATGGGCCACTATGAAAATAGAACTAACACAAGGTATATTCCTCTCTTAAAAGACATGGTAATCTTTTTGGGATACATATTGAGAACAGTACAAAAATGTAGAGCACCTTGAAGGTAAGCTAAGATAACAGGATACTTATACACATAAAGACCATGAATAAACAACATAGTACACTGAATATCAACAAAAAGAGTATGAAGTTCGTGTGATCTTCAGTGTACAGTATAAACACGGGCGAATTCTTGCCTTTTTCAGGTGTATATTTCTTCACCTTCAGCATGATGAAGCACGAAGATGTTGAGGAAGTGTATGTATACCTTATGCACAATGGAAACACAGTCTTCAGCATGTACAGGTGGGTGGTCTTTTCTATCACAGGTCTCATCGACACATATATTGCTGTAATTTGTGGAAGGAAAATCCAATGACGGGAAGTATGTAGCAATCAACAGCACACAACACGGCCTCAGTGCTCCGTTAGAGCCCTCATTTGCCAACCTATGTGAGATTATGATGAATGCATGAGCTGGAACAAATGAGATGAAATTGTGCATCAGCATGTTGATTAGAGCCCTGAACTTGTTAGGTAGCTTCACTTCCCAAGACAATCACTTGGACACCTTTCTTAACTTAGCTTTTTCTTCTCTCCCTCCTATATTTCTACTTTCTTTATTCCTCTCCCCTTTGACTGAGGCTTGGTACCTTCTCTGCCATCACCTGTTTGTGTTAGTCCCTTTCTTTCCCTGGCCCTGACCTGTGCTGCTGTTCTGATACTTATGCTAGACATCTGGCCCTTGAGCTCCTTGGAAACATTTATTTAGAAATCAATAGTGTACTTTGTTTTCATGTTAGAGTAGGATGTGGCAGAGAGAAAACATTTCCCATAGTTAAATCAGCTATTGGTATTGGGTAGTGTCCTTCTAGAAATAGTCCACCTAATAAACATTAACAGGTTTGGGGGTGCTTGTGTTTGGTTTTCTACATCATTTTCACCTAAACAAAGAATTGTATGAGACAAGCAAAAATGGTACAAATTTTATTTGAAAAGTTGAAGGTCAAGGGTAAGGGAGACTCTGCAGAGCTCTGTAGAGCAAACAGGCTGAGTAAGAAAGAGAAAATATAAAGAGTAAGACCCAAAATGGAAGTACATGCAGGAGGACAGAGAGCAGACTACAGGGAGGAAAGCCCCAGTCATGGGCTCGTCCTGCATGGTCTATGTCATTTTATTTCCTTCACACACTGTGGGAACTCACACGAAGGAACAGAAAAGTTCACATGCAGGGCTTGGGAATCATTTTATGCCTGTGTCATGGAACCCGATTAGGCTAACTCCATCAACAGCTTTGCCACACCCTGCTTTCCTGCCTAACCATAAGATGTCCATGAAGAACTCTGTGGCTGTTTGTTACATTTTCCTTTTTTTTTTTTTTACCAGAGATCAAGCTCAGGACCTTGCACTTGCCAGGCAGGGGCTTAAGCCACTGAGCTATCTCCCCAGCCTTTCCCTGTTATTCTTAATGATTTGTGATCATTACATTAAATCTGATGGGCATGGGGTCTGGGAATCACCAGGTCCACCCTCACTGGGCTGTATCTCTCCAATGAAGGTAGATGAGTCAGAGAAGAGCAGCGTAAACCACAAACTTTATTGCAGGCATTGCAAGAAGCAATACAAAGCCACTCCCGGGAGGAATGGGGGCACTCAGAGCTGAGTCACCACAGACTCTGGGGCCTGGGGGTCCCGTATCCACCCCCTCTAAGGGTTGACACTAGGCTGATTAGATATTGGGCCTGTTGTTAGGGGCTTGGTCTTATGGGCTAAAAGGAGGATTTGGGAAGGCATGGAAATCTGCACTAGAAGGGATAGGGCTGCCTGCCAGAAACAGATCTCAAAACCACAGGCTATTTTTTTTTTTTTATATTTCCTAAAGGGGCCAGGTTTCTAACCAAACCCTACCTAAGAGCTCTACCATCTTTATAATTGCTATCTTCTGGAACCTGGCCTCTATTTGAGGAAAAGACAAGTTATTATAGATGAAACTGTGTAAGAGATCAGAATACAGTGGTTCAAACATGATAGAATTATATATTTTTTAACCAATGCAGGGTAAGAGCCCAGGGTGAGAAGAAGAGTGGCAGGAAGGTTAGAGGACAGTGAAGAGGTCAGCAGGAGGGTTTTCCTCCTAGAGTTTGAGAGACTCAGGTGATGAAAGCAACGCTGCCACTAATAACACAGACTTACAATAAATTCCTTCTGGTTATCATCACGCCTGGAGTCAAAAGAAGTACAAGAAGCTTCTGGTATTTTTTATGCATCAGATATTATATTTAGGGAAATGAATCACACTATACCTAGCATTACAAATCCATGTAAAGCAAAGAGGAAACCCCACGCAGCTTCTCATGGAGGAGGAGACTGGATGCTACCGAAAAGCGGGCCTTCTCTGGCCCTCTGACTTCTAAATATTGGCTGAGTGCTTCTTCCTACATTAGAAAGCACAGCTCCCCATCTGCCGTGGGAGATACCCAAGCTGCATTTGCACATCAAGCTCAAAACTTAGATCTGGTGGGTAATGAACAGTCCTTTTCTTTATCCACAATCCTGTTCTCCCTGGGAGGGTCTTCTTCTGTTTGTATCCATGGCTATACCTAATACACGAGCAGCCTTTCTCATGACTTTCATAGATTACTTTCTCCTGTTTCAAATTTGTGATCTAAGTCAAACATCCTAAGTCATTTGTAGTGCAGGTTGTGTCCTTGGCAATAATGTGGGAGGCTTATGCTGTGATTGCTACCAATGACTTTTGGAAGTCAATCTTACTCTGTACAGCCTCCTGCCCCCACCACACACACACTGGGGATTGAACTAAGATACACGCCCAGTATCCTTTCCTGTTGTTTTGATACAAGGACTTGCTAAGTCAATAAATTTCTCAGGCTGGGCTTGAATTTGGAATCTTCCTGCCTCAGCCTCACAGAGTGCTGAAATAACAGGCATGTGCTACTTTTCTTGTTGCCTTACTCTTAATGTACAGGTAGTTACCCCAAGGTATTTTAAAATAACACATGAATAGGAAGGCAGCTTTTTCAAACTTATTAATCCCCAACTTTCTAGATTCTATTTACTTTTCTTTTAAATCCTGGCAGCTCTTCTCTGGAATAATCTCTTGAGAAAACAGCTAAAAGTCATTTCTCTAGTACTTTCCCTTAACTGTAGTATGGGCATTACATCTTCTTGTTATTATACGTTTTGTCACAGTAGAACACAGATGCTCAGCTCTTCAGCTCACAGACTTGGTTCCACGCTGCTCTGACTGACCATGAGTTACTGCAACCTGTTTGAATTTGGCTTCTGGTAGCTTAACTTCCTTTAGTAACAAATTCCAGATTCTTTAGGGGAGGCCAAACCGTCACAACAAAGACTCAACTTAATGGCTCAAACACAGAACTTCACTCCCGGTAAAAAAGTCCAGAGTAGAGAATCTAGGGTGGATGTTCCAGACTGGGACAGGGCTAGGAAAGCTCTCTTCTCTGTAGTAGCCTTTAATTAAGCACCCAGATTTTTACATATGGCTTCCAAGTTTATTCGACTCATTGCTATTAATGTTCCTGATAGGAGGAAGGAAAAACAAGGAGGAGAGTTTGTGAATTTTATGGGTGAACCCTACAAGTGGCATTTTCCATTTCTGCCCAGATGCCATTTTAGAGAACCTGTCACATGACTGTACCTAAGCACATAAAAGAAAAGGTAGATTCTGATGAAAAGTTGGCTGTGTGCTATAAATAGATTAAGTAGCTTTGTGCCTTTTTCTTTTCAGCTATGAAACAAAGGGAAAGTCAGATACATCCAGTAACCATGCAGTGCTGAAGCTCGCCAAGGGGGATGAGGTTTGGCTGAGGATGGGCAACGGTGCCCTACATGGGGACCACCAGCGCTTCTCTACCTTTGCAGGCTTCCTGCTCTTTGAAACCAAGTAAACAGATGAATACAATGGCTCCACTTTGAGGACTTGCAGCTGAGTTGGTTCTGCTATAACTCAAGGCACATATCATGTTAAGAGCTTGACAACCTGTATTTACAAAAACAATTATTAGGTACACTGATCATGCTGCAAGTCCATCAGTAATGTTGGATTACTCAGGGGCTCAGATAAATAAATCACAATATTGTCTTCCCAGATGGTCTTAACAAATATACCTAATCCTTTGTCACTCTTCCCTAGGTAGCTAAATTAGAACTGTTCCTTGATGCAGGTTACAATTAATTGTTTCCATCAAAGGCATGACTTCAGGAATGTTGGTGTTATTTGTGATGTCTGCTTTGAGGAGCCCCTGAAATTTTGAGTTCATTATCCTTTATAATATTGCAAAGAATAAGATGTAGCAGTTATGTTGGGGCAGGGGCAAACATATGGGTGCTTACAGGACCCAGGCACTAGAAACACATGCACAGCCTGGACTGGGAAGTAACAATTTGATCCAGTGGGTCAATATTCACAAAATAAAGTGTTGTTCATTTTTTAGTAGTTGATTTTTAAAAAGTAATTCCAAATAGCTTTTAGATAGTAAAAGTATTTTTAATGTTCAAAATAATTAGCTCATTTTTGTAAAGATATATCTGTGACTAATTCTTGGATTCTAATGACTTCCACTTTTAGAAACAGATTTTTCTCACAATATAGAATTGGGTTTATCAGAACTGATTTATCACATCGATTTTTTTTTTCAATTACACTCCTTGAATTATAGCAGCTTTTTATTGGTCCTGAGTTGCAGAACTGGGTAAAGTAAACTTAGAATATAAGACGTTATATTCTTTTCTATTAATTTGAAAATTACTCCAATGTATTTATGTTTTATAATATTATGTCACATTGAAGGGACTGTCATCTTCATTGTATGCTGCCAAAAATAATGCACATAAAATATATAAACATTCCATTTGAGAGACATACATGAAAATATCTTTACATTGTATTTAGTGAAAAATTATATTATTGCAGGATTCTTCACAGAGATGGGACACGAAGGCTTTTTTTTTGTAGGAAGTAGCTCTGTGCATAGCAACATGGACCCAGTAGTCTGGCATCTAAAGACCAAGCATCCAGCACTGTGGGTTCTTGCCCCTTATATACTTGTTGGGATTCTGTCTCCCTTGGGCTGCCACAAACTACTAACAAACTACAGCCGGATTGGATACAGCCTATGTTACAGAGCTGTGCTAGAACCACATGTGTGTATATAGGAACTAAGTGTGCCATGTTGACTTTCTTTATTCTAACAAGGTCCACATTCCTTAAGGGGGAAGCTCTGCCACATTCTTTTAATAGGACTTCCTGGATTATAATCATTCAGTGATGTTCGCAGAGAAGTTTTGGAATAACAGGTGTTTTAGGAGATGCCATTTGGCTTTTGCCTAACTTGCATAGCAAAATCTATCTCCAAAGGATTAAATTTGCCACCAAAAGAATATTGTTAAGAATGTGCCATAAATTCTGAAAACAGAACCCACAATAAGGTTTAAAAGAGGAAAGTATAATTGCAATATATATTTACTTTACTATTATACCGTATTTAAAATCAGTAGGGAAATGTCTACTTGATATTCTATGTAATGATTTACCTTTAAAGCAATGAGCCCTTATTTCATTTGTTATCAGAACTTGAATTTTCACCTAGGGCTTTAGACCACAGATTTCCTTTTATCCACCTATAGCTAGAGGCTGAAGACCAGTGCAGGGCCCCCTTATTAGCTATGTCAGTTCTTTCAATGCTCAATTTAGCTTCTGAGCCTCTCCTTTTGATTTAGACATGTGTTTAAACTCTTCCTGAAACCATGTGTAATACTCTTTTAAAGTGAATGGGTATTAAGCTATATTGTGCTCAATTGGAAATATTTTGTGATTTTGTGTATTTTTTTTCCTCCAGGGTTGTGGGGTCATGAGGTTGAGGTTTCCTACGTGAGATGTCTTAACATTTCATAGCTGTGCATTGTCAATAGCTATTTGAATGCTGCATGTTGACTAAAGAGATCTCTATAACTGCGGAATTTACACTACCTAATAAATGCCTAGAGGAAGATTTTGGCATGGCTTTAGATAAAACTGTAGCAGGGCCAGCCAAATAGCTCAGCAGACTAAAGCACCTGCTTAGGCAGACACAACGGCCAGGGTTCAAATCCCCAGTGCGCTCTGTTGGCCCCGCCCCCTGGGCATGCTGAGATGCAAATGAGACTGGGCATGGTGGCACACACCTGTAATCCCAGCTCTTGGGAGGCTGAACACAGGTGGATCACTGCAAGTCTGATCTATATAGTGAGACCCTGTAGACTCTGTATTAAAATACAAAAAAAAAAAAAGATATCCTCAATAAATTGTAGCAAGAAAAAAATGCATTCAATATGTACAGAAAATAAACACACTTTTATTAAATGCATTCTTTTTCAATGTTCTTAAGCATAACAGTTGTACAATTGTAAGTAATACGGCTTAAACAAAAGCATAGTATTTTCATGCAAACCATGTGAACAACTATGAAAATCAGTGATGGGAGCACAAAGTAGGGTCACCTGTAGTTGTAGGCAGGTGGAAAGCTTTATAGCCTTGCAAATCAGTCCCAATATGAGAAAAAGAAAAGGTGACTCACTCACAGGAGAGAATGGAAAAGCCAAGGTAACTGTCAGAGTCTTCACAGTTCTCCCCATGGCCACAATGACATGCTTTTCCCTCATCTGTTTGGCTTTCTGTGGCTTCATTGATCCATGGTCAATTCATATCCCAAAACACTGAATGGAAAATTCCAGAAATAAAGAACTTATACATTTTGAATTGTGTGTTATTGAGTAGCATTTGGTGCTAGTCTGACCATCATCCACAGTCCTGAATTATCTTTTTCCACAGTATCTAAAGTATGTATGCACTTTTATCCTGTTTGTCCCTTAGTAGATAGCTGACACCGGCTGTTGCCTTATAGCAGTGCTTGTGTTCCAGCACGATTTTGCTTGATCATGACTCCAAAGTATGAAAGTAGTGATGTTGGCTATCTGGATATTCCAAGAAGAAATCATAACATACTTCTTTTATGTGAAAAGGTGAAAGGTCTTAACTTGTGAGGAAAAGAAAAGCAATCATATGCTGAGGTTACTAAGAGCAGATCTTCTTATCTGTGGAATTGTGAAGAAAAATAAATTTTATCTTAGTTTTACTGTTGCACCTCAAGCTGAAAATGTTAGAGCCGTAGTGAAGCATTTTGTATCCAATGAAAATGAAAGAGGCACTGAATTTGTCCATATCTGTGTAGAAAAAAAAACAAAACAGTATATGTGTATCTGTCTCTGATTTGACCTAACATAGTAGGAGCACTCTGAAATACTACTTGCACCATCTAAGATATTGAGGAACTTTATTGAGCATATAGCGAAAAAAGCTGACATCAAAATAAATTAAAGTTAATTCAAACAGGATGAATATACAAATGGACTTATAAAAGATGAGAATAGCCTTGATACACATGTACTTAGTGAAAGACACTGTAGTGGAGCCAGAGAGATAGCTCAGTGGAATAAGTGCTTGCCTGGCAAGTGCAAGGTCTTGAGTTTGATCCCTGGTACCACCAAAAAAAAAAAAAAAAAAAAAAAAAGAATAAAAAGGCACTGTTGTATTCTAGGAGCTTCTGCGGTATTTAGAGTACAAGGCATACCTTTCCTGAGCTTTTTTACTAATAGTGATTAATAAGTAAAGGTGGGTTAGTGGATGAGTAATATGAAACAGAATGTTTTAACAGGCATATAAGGCAGAAGGCCAGGGACTCCCAGGAGAAACAAACAACATCCAGCTGAAAGCATGAAAGAAGCTTGTAGAAAAGGTATTTGCTGACTATAGACAATTTATTTTATTTATTTATTGCAGTACTGGGGATTGAACTCAGGACCTTACACTTTCCAGGCAAGCGCTTATTCCACTGAGCCATCTCCCTGGCCCTGACAATTTCTTTTTTTGTTAGGCTTGTAGTGTTATTTTTACAACTATCTTGTTCTTTTCTGACTTAAGAAAAAATCTCTATATAGCATAAAATTATCTCTTTATCTCAAAAATTTAATATAAGCATTTTGAAATTAGTTCAGTCTTTTTCTGCACATATTTTGGTTTTTATTTTAAAAACAGTAATGAAAGAAGCCATCTTATACGTGCCTTTTTTTTTTTGTATCTTATACCTTTTTTCTTTGCATTTAGTATGTGGTCTATAAGGTCTCACTACACAGATCAGACTCATAGCGATCCTCCTGTTTTCAGCCTCCCAAGTGCTGGGATTACAAGTGCAGGTCACCACACCCAGTCTCAGCCTCTGTCTCAGCGTGTCCCAGAGGCCAGGCCAGTGTTGCAGGCTAGGGATGGAACCCCAGCCCTACCTCTGCCTAAGCAGGCACTTTGACCCACTGGACTATCTAGCTGACCCCTTGTATCTTATATCTTGCTAAAGTTTCACCTAATATGTTCACAGCATGCTCAAGTTGTACTTCAACCTATTTAAAAACATAATTTTAATGGCTGTATAATTTATTTATCCTTTTTGTTTGGAGCCATTTTTTTCCTCTTTTGAGGTTTTATAAAAATTACAAATAATGAACGATGTTCATAGTTTATTAAAAAATAAACTATGCACACATGATTTCCTTTAATTACATTTCCAGAAATAGAACTATTTGATCTATGTTTAATGCTATTAATATATGTGCCTTGGAGCACTGTGCAACATTTCTTTTTTTCTTTCTTTTTTTCCTTTGGTACCAGAAATCAAACTCAGGTCCTCACACTTGCCAGGTGAGCGCTGTGTGGCTGAGCTATAGTATCCCTGGCCCTTTTAATTCTATTAATAATATCATAAAAGTTAGAGTTCTGTAAGCAGAGACTTTATCAGAAGGGATTATTACAGTAAGGGCAGGAAACTCGTATAGTAGGGAAAGCCCAGGACCTCAGCAGTCAGCAGCTACGGACTTCCCATTGTGGAGACACAGAAACAAGAGTGAAAAGAACCCCGTGGGGGGAAATGGGATGAATGGGGTGCAGATATGCGGGGGGGACAGGAGACAGGGAATGAGTTTTCCCTGAAATCATCCTAATTTCTTGAGGGGTTGTTAAAGAGAGCTTGTTGGATGTTTCAGCACTCTCAGTGAATGTAGGGTCATGGAGACAGGAGAAAGGCTAGATGGATTTTGCTCAAGTTGAGGTAGCTGAGATTGACATTCAAGAAATAGCACTTATAGCCAAATATAGCTGTTCCCTTTCCATTTAAATTTGACAATTGCTTGATATCACAGAAATATTGTGAACAGGAAGAAAGACCCTTCCCTAGTTGTGTAGATGAATTATCTTGGGCAGTTGTCTAATATCTATCTTTACTTCCCTCATTGGTGAAATGGACTGTCTATGAGTATGTTCCTCAAAGAGTTATTATTAGCTACGATATATACTATCCGTCTCTTAACACAGAGAAAATAACTATGATTAGCAGCTCAGAATAATGCACATTTATTATTTCACTATGCCGATAGTTAAAAGTCCAGGAGTGGCTTAGGTGCATTGGCCGAGGCTGGATATCTGAAAGTTTAGCAGCAGAAAGACATGCCCGCGTTCCCTAAGCTTGTGGAAGAATTCATTTCCTGTAGGGTGCATGGATTAAAGGGCCAGAGGGCAATCCTGATTATTACCTGAAAGCTGCCCTAGAGTCATTACAGGACAGTTTCAAAGAACTTCTTACTTTATTGTAACATGTAGTTGTGACAAGTTGGTTAGCAAGAAAAGGTTACATTCTGTTCTGTCATAACTAAGGCTGGCACAACTCATTACCTGTGCAGTATTCTACTGGGTGGAAGCAAGTCATCAGACACTTTACGGGCACAAGGACGAGATTACACAAGGGAGGAGTCATTTGTGGCCACGCGGACCAGTTTTCCACTTTTCCCCTTGGCTGCTAAAGAGCCATGTGCTCCCGCATGCACCCATCTGCCCTATTCTTCAGAGGTCCCATTCTATTTCAGCTCAAAATTCTTAATCTCACCATTTGCATCAGATTCAGATATGAGTTCAGCTTTCCAGATCCAGACTTTTTTAATCCAGCTCACTGATTTGTGAACATAATTTATTCTAGGAACACACTTTTAATCCAAAGCACATATCAAAGAAAATTTCCACATGAGAATGGAAACTCAAAATGATTTGCTCCACAATCCAAAAGAATTCATGTAAAAATGATTACAATACTGCAATATAACACAAAACAATAAAGTACAAAATACAAAGAAAAGTAAATTAACCTACACTTAACTTCAAAAACCTTTGTGGCTGGTGTGAGGGAGATAAGAGAAAAGGGTTATTATACAGGATGATTTTCACTATCATTAATGGCATCAGCAGTATCTATTGGCTCAGTGGAATGTTTTTCTTTTCACCACCTTGAACAAGGAACCTGTCCAATGACACTTGCTTTTGCCATCCTTTGGGGCAATGTGACGCTGCACTGTCATTAAACAGACTCACTGCTTGCATAGCTACAGCCTTATTCAGGTGATATTTTTCTACAAAATTTTGCTCTGTTCCCAACACTTTACATGTTAATACTAGGGTTCACCCATTTAAACTTATTTTATTCAAATGACCTCTTAAAAAGCCTGAGCTCTGAGAACAGTCACATTTTCACATACTGGGAGTTAGGATTTGGATGTAAAAGTACTTGCTTTAGATCCGGAAAAGATCTCAAAAGTCGTGCGAGATTTTCTAGGCTTTTTTTCTTTGTTGAGCTTTTCAAGGTCTGGAATCTGAAACTGTTAGGAAAGCTTGATGTTGGGTGAGAACTCTGAATCATTGTGAATCTGATCCTGTATTTTACTTCAAGTTGGTTGTTTTTTCAGAAAAATAGATGAAGAAAATAGGATGAAATATTAATGTCTCAATCTGGATGTCTGTTTTGGAATTTCTTTGGAATGTCTTTGGAATTTTCTGTTTCAACTTTCTTAAAATACAAACAAAAGAGATAAACTTTGTGCTCCCAGAAAAGCAGGCGCCTGAGACAGAGGCAGAAAGGGCAGGCATTGGAAGGCAACCCCGCACAGGGACAGCTGAAAAGGCCTTGGAAAGGTAAACTCATGAAAAGTAGCTCAAGCTCGCCTGAAAGATTTGTAAGAATCGGGTCACATTTTCCCTTCGCTTTTATCCCCAGCTTCGAATACATAAAGCCACACGTAAAAACCAAGTGCAGCGAGATTCCAGCTTCTACCTCTATTCCGTGTGCTGCAGCTGTAAAAAATATGCCTGTCCCCAGCCTTTATCGAGTTAAGAGAAATAATTTCTAAAAGTAGTGAAGACTATTCTGAAATGGGTCGTAGTTGTTGACCGGCAGTCAGATATATTCTTCAGAGGTTCTATCTAAAGGCCCTCAATACAGAACAGGTGTTTTCCTCTTGGGTAGACATATAGCTTTGAGTCTGGAGGAGACAAAGCCAAAGAAACAAATCAAATAATCACAACAGGATAATTATGAAAAAGATGAGTTAGAACTTTTTGTAGGTCTATTAGCAAATATCTCTTAAATGTGAGGTTTAATCCCTTTTATCTTTTATGGCCATTGTATATTGTCTCAAACAAACTGGCCTTTTATATTTTACCAACTCTATTATTACTTGGGGCACATGGATTGCCAGAAATAGGGAAAACACTGAGTACTCTAATTTGTATGTGGGGTCACTGGCTGGTTAACTACGTGTGGAGGGCCACCGGAGCAGTCTCCTTGAAAGAAGAGCGACTGTCTCCATTTTGACTGAGCCTGACCCTATTTCCTATGTACAGAGCTGGCTAGGACTTCTGTTTATCAGTTGGCCTTAGGTAAATGTAGGCCACCTACCTAGCTCAGCTCACAATGATCACCTACTTCCCACAATTTTTGGCCAATCCTCCTTAAGTCACTCTCCTACTGAATAAAAACCGGGTGAGACCCTGGGGTCGCTCTCTTGGTTTTGGAAAGCCATCTTTGTGGCTGGACTTAGAGTCCCTTGGCTACCTGTGAAGAAGCCAGAGCGGTCATCGCCCATATTTCCCTAATGGCAGTTCGGGTTACTTCTTCAGAGGGGGGAATGTTATAGGTAGCCAAATTAGATAGAAATATTAATAGGCAGTCAGGCAGGGCCAGGCCCTCGAAGGAGACAACACAGAAGATGAGATGCCCACAACTGTGGGAGGGGCGGATGCTCCTGCTGTGAACCAGACCTAAAGACCTAAAGGCCAAACAAATGCTAAATGTGTAGCACCTGGGATTGATATTCTAAATAGGTATCGATCACCTGGAAAGACCCAAGTGAGTCACTAGCCCAACCCCCAACAGAAAGAGACCCTGTCCCGCATTCCAGCCCCCAACAGGAAAAGACCCTGTCCCATATGTAATCCCATTGGTTGACCATAGTTTTGTCCCACCTCCTGCCCACCTAAGCGAGTTCCCATTCTCTCTACCTTAGCCTCGCATGGTTTTACACTATCAAAGTCCCTAGAAGAGACAGCTTCCCGGGGAACTACCTGCTCGGCCCCCCCCTCCTGTCCTTCTCTTGGACAGAAGCTTTTTTTCTCTCAATAAATATATTCTGCTCATAAAAAATAAATAAAATAAATAAAAGTAGTGAGACTATTTGTGAGTCCTGTATTATATATACTTTAAGATGGACATTAAGTTAAAAATTTAAAAGTAGCCATAGAACACCAGGTGACAAAAAAAAAAAAAAAAAAAAAGTTGAAGCTCTTTTATTTAACCTTTGCTAGCAGCGATTTGTTTCCTTGGTGCTTTTAGGAGTGGTCTCGGTCCCCTCCGGGATGAAAACATCTGGTAGTTTAAGTGTTAGGGCTCAAGAGGGACACCCTGCAGCCAACGGGGGTAATCGATCTGACACTGTTCTTACCTACTTAAGTGTTTTTATTTTTCTTGTTAGGGCTCGCCAAGGTGAGAAGCTTTCTGACAGGTCCGGGTCAGCGGAGAGCTGGATCCCGGCCCGCAAGCGACTCAGCAGGCGACAGCAGGCGGGGCGGAGGGGCGGGGCGCAGACGCCGGCCGCGCAGGCGCAGAGGCGCAGGCCGAGGTTAAGGAGGGCTTGTGCAGCCTTCCCTTGTCTTGCAATCCTAGAGGCCCGATGGCGCTACGGGGCATCAGGGTGGTGGAGCTGGCCGGCCTGGCCCCGGCCCCGTTCTGCGGCATGGTCCTAGCCGACTTCGGGGCGCAGGTGGTGCGTGTGGACCGGCCCGGCTCCGCCGGCGACGTGAGTCAGCTGGGCCGAGGCAAGCGCTCGCTGGCGCTCGACCTGAAGCGGCCTCCGGGCGCGGCCGCGCTGCGGCGCTTGTGCGCACGCGTGGACGTGCTGCTGGAGCCCTTCCGCTGCGGTGAGCCCGGGACCCCACGGGCCGGCGGGGAGGCCGCGCCGGGAGCCCGGGAGCCCTGCGGTGCCACCCTGGCCGGCCGGCCCTTCGGGGTCTTCACCTAGCCTTTAGCTCTGCTGATTGCCGGAATGCCCCTAGAGAGGATCTGCTGCAGCTTGGGTTCTAAGACAACAGCTGTGGCCCATTGCTCCCTTTGCGTCTCTTTGACTCCTTCCCTAGTTCCTTTTTATTTTTTCTAAGCAATTTTATGTAGCTTTCCCTCTTAACTGGAGGGTCTCATGAAAGCTGTAGATTCTCTTCCCAGAACTATGGGCATAGGTATACTGACAGTTAGGTGCTCTTCACGTAGAGTGGGGTATGACTCACGCACAGGCCAAGCTAGTACCTCCTGCCTTAGACGCAGGTGTTCCCTAAAGCCCGGTTTCAGCTCATGTATTTTGTTCTCTGCTCGCTGGAGCCGTCTTACAGCCCCAGTTTCCATCTTTTGTAGACGGAACATGCCCCGATCTGTAACTGCCTACTCTTGGAGCCTCAAAGGGCTGGCACACACTTCAGTCCTCTAACCCCACTGCAGTTGTCACAAATCCCAGACAGAACCTTTCCCATTTCTTTTTAAAATGGCGTTACCTCTATCTGGGTAATTTATCTCAGCGAATAGAACTAGTGTCCAGCTGCCTGCATCAGAAACTTGGAATTTGTCCTTGCTTTCATCATGTCTGTTTTCATTGATCTCTAATTTTTTCCCTCTTTACTAAGACTTGGGGTTCTTTCTTTCCACACCGGATGCAACAGCCCCTACATTGGTGTAAGAACCTTTTAGAAACTGAGGTTAATCTATTTCCAGACACCTGCCTGAGTCATCTTATTAAAGTACAAGCCCAAAGCATTGTCTGGTAGAAAGTCACGAAGTGGGAAATGTCTAGCAGGCACCAAGCATATTTAAGTGTAAGGTTCATTTAGCCCCTAATTCAGATTTGAAGATTGTAGCAGTAACACATACCGATTTAATAATGCACCACTTAAACATAAGAATGGATAAACATGTTAAATAATTTGAGGTTTCATAATTAGGAGGATAGAATTATAAAAACATATATAGCCCCCAGGCAAGGCTTGTAGTTAAGAGGATAATTGGATTTTATCATAGCCTGAGAAAGATGGGTCCTAAACAGTTATCTTATTGTGTAGTTATCTTTATGATGTTTAATCTCAGTTGATTTTATGTGCCATTTACCTGGGTTTTGTGCACTACGGGTATTTATTACCTCCTTTTGATTGTTGTACTGGAACTGCTCTTTCTTTCTATAAATGTTTGTAAATAAGTCCTTTATGGTGAAGGTACATTGGGGGAAATGGAAAGAGCCTACTGTGAACCCTGCAGGAGGAGTTCCTGAGCTGAGGGGGAACATGGGTGTGACCATATTCACTGTCCTTAAGGAGGAGGAGGTGGCTGGCATTGATGCAGGCATGGAAAGAGAAAAAGGGGACTCCTGCTCAGGTGATTGAGTAGGCTTGGATATGCCTAGCAAGAACAGGTGACAGAAGTATACTGGGGCAGAACCCACATATTCCAGAAAAGGTAGGTTTCTTCTGGGTTCTTATTACTGGATACATGTTGTAAACTATAAGCTAAATAACAATCAGAGAGTCTCCAAAGAATACTGGAAATGGCGGAACATTTCCATGTTCCCTAGTCAACTGTGAGCTTATTTGAAGAAGTAAGGGGAAGTTTTTAGAAGAGAAGGGTGGATTACATAAAATATTGTGAAATAATAATCCCAATATGTGGCTACAGAGATTAACAAAAGGGTGGTAGGGCTGGGGAGATAGCTCAGTAGTCTAAGCTCCTGCTTGGCTACCTTGAACAAGGACTCAGATTCAATCCCTATTACTACATGCTGTGCCTGCCCCAGTGGTGCATACTTGGGAAGGCTGAGATAGGAGGATCACTAGGAGGCCGAGCTGTGTAGTCAGACCTTGTATCCAATAAATAAACTAAAAGGTGGTGGTGGTGGTCAAAGTTTGAACAGACACATACTGGGCAGGTGCCTCCATGGAACTTTTCTATGAGGTTGGCCCTTGTTCCAGGTGGTGGTTCTGGCAAAGCCATCTGTGGGTCATTTGTGTTATTTATTAGGTATTGTGTTAGTCAGATTTTCCTCACTGGCAATATATACCTGAGAAAATGAACTTATAGGAGGAAAGATTTATTTTAGCTCATCATTTCAGAGGTTCCAGTCCTTAGAGGACTCCTTTGCGTTTAGACTCATGCAGGGCAGAAGTATTATGGGTAAAAGAAAAGCTGCTCACGTTGTGGCAGCCAGAAAGTACAGGGAGAGAAGAGTCAGAGTGGAGGAGGCTGAGGACAGGATGTAACTCCTAAGATCACACCCCTATCACCCCATCACCTACTCAATACCACGAGGCCCACTTCTGTCCCTGCCCGGTTGCACATCAACTTAGGAATCCATGAATGGGTGATCCACTGGTGAACGCAGAGCCCTCACGATTCAGCTACCTTCTGAAAGGCCTCCATCTGAATACATGAGCATGTTGAGGAGCATTTTTATATCTAAACACTCCTAGACGTGCATTCAGGGAGTCACCTCCTTCGTAACTTCTCAGCTTTATTTATTTATTTTCGATTAGGGCCTGACAAAAGTGATTCTGTTTTGATTCTGACAACTTTCACAAAGTCTACAGCGAATGATGCTCTTAGTGCTATGTACTTCCAGGTGCACCGTTTCGGTTTCCCTGGCAGAGGTGACAGAAATGGGCCTTGCTGAACGGAATAGGTGATGGGGGCATGATATGATTGTCCCCAGACCCAATTTAGGCTCTAAAATAATGATTATTTTTCTCATAAGGTGTCATGGAGAAACTTCAGCTTGGGCCAGACCTGCTGCTGCGGGAGAATCCAAAGCTCATCTATGCCAGGTTGAGTGGATTTGGCCAGTCAGGAAGCTTCTCCCAGGCAGCTGGCCATGACATCAACTATTTGGCTTTGTCAGGTATTTTGAAAAATAATTTTTCTCTATATTTTTAATTGGGACTCAGTCAAGTTACAGTTACATTGATTAGCGAGAAGTTTTAAAGGTAAAGGTTAAATATAAGAATCAATACAAATATGGTTGTTTATTTTAAAGCTTTTTTCTCTTTTCTGAACATCTATGAGGAATAATATATTCTCATTAATTACATTTGTTTATTTATATTTTGAGGAGTCAGTTTTCAGGACAGACCCTACTAGGAAGTAGGAAACTTTGTAGAAGTAGCAGTAGTCACTCTATAGTTTGAACTTGAGTCTGACCATCCTTTGTGGAGAATCTTTGCCTGAACCATGTTGCCAGACTTCCATAAGCTCTAGAAAAGGCTCATGGTTTCCAGGTCCCACTCTCACTCTATCAGAACTCTACTATGAGAACACATCTTAGAACAGACTGATTCTAGATTTCTGATAACTGTGTGTTCTTGACTGAAAGGAATTCTCAGATTTTCTGAGTCCACATTTCAAAGGTGAGAAAAAAAGTAAGGATAAAACTGATTTGCACATCAATTTAAAAACTATTTCCTTTCTTTCCTTAGATATATTTTCTTATATCTGTTCCTAATAAGATGCATGATATGTCTTAAAAAAGAGTTGAGGATGATAATTTCCCCTTAAGCCCAGCAAGTGAAAATTTAATAATGAAATTTTGAAAATGTCCATTAGGATAATGTTTTAGAAAAGAAAAATCTCAGCAAAGCACAGGACCTGTGTTTAAAGAAAGCTAATTTATAAGTAGACTGAATGGGTTCATATTTGAAAAAGCATCATGTACTAGTTTTCACTCAAGTGTGTGTCTACAGATTGTTCATCTAAGATGATCATATATTTATTTGAAGGAGACATTAGCTTTGTCTTTTTATGTGTTTAGTACAGGGTCTACACAGATTGGATTCGTAGTGATTCTCCTGTTTTCAGCCTCCCAAGCGCTGGGATTACAGGCATGCGCCACAATACCCAGGCTCAATCACAGTCTCAACTCGCTTCGTTTTTAATGTTGTAGGTGTTCTGTCAAAACTTGGCAGAAGTGGTGAGAACCCATATGCGCCGCTGAATCTCCTGGCCGACTTTGGCGGTGGCGGCCTTATGTGCACAGTGGGCATCCTGATAGCCCTGGTGGAGCGCATGCACTCTGGCAGAGGCCAAGTCATTGACGCAAGCATGGTGAGAATGAAGAGAGGGGACTGTTCAGCCTGCCGCTTGAGTGTGATATGTAACTACCTGAAACCCTTTTCTGAATGACATAAATGAAATGTAGTATTTGATGCCAACTCACCAAGAATGTTTTTTACTAGAAAATAACCTCATGTCCTTTGTACATGTCAGAATGTCCTATTTTAATCATCTGTGAAGTTAGTTCTCTTATGTCTTTGTGATTCACCTGATCCCATGTTATATTTCAGCAGTTTTCTCTAAGTTATCTTTTATGCTTCAAATAAATCTCCAATCAATCTTCATTTAAAACTGAGCTTAAGGAATGTCCCCCAGCAGATTTTTTTGAGTGCTGAGAACGCGCCCTGCTGTCTACACCTCCCTGATACATTCGGGAGGGGGTGCTCCCGTATAAAGCTGCTTTTCTGGCCACCCTTGAACGTTGGCCTCATTTCCTGCTGGGCACTTCTCCTGTCTAGTTTCTTCTAATCCTCAAAACCACTTTAATTTAGAATACTAGCATCCCCTTATCTGTGGCAACCAATGTTGCCTAGGACTGTAGTTAACTAATACCAAACCTCATATATGTCATACTTTTTCCTATACATAAATGTATGCCTGAGATGAAATTCAGCTTATAAATTAAACACAGTCAGAAATTGACAAAGTGAAAATGAAATAGAACAATTGTAATGATATATAGTTATAAAGATTATTTAAAACTATTTTTATTTCTGGAATTTTCAAATGAAAATGTTTATCTTGTTTATTGATTTATTTATTTGATTTTTTTTTTTTTTTTGGTGTAACTAGGAATTGAACTCAGGCCCTTGCACTTGCCAGGCAAGCACTTATTCTGCTGAGCTATCTCTCTGGCTCCTATTTATTTATTTGAGATAGTATCTCAGTATGTAGTTCAGGCTGCCCTTGAACTTTACTGTGTACCTCAAGCTGGCCTTTAATTAGTGGTGATCCACTAGCCTTAGCCTCCTAATTGTTGGGACTACAGGCGTACACTACCATATCTGGCTAGTTAAAAGTTTGAGACTTCAGTTGACACTGGTAACAGAAATTGTGGATAAGGTAGTGGGGGCAACTTTACATAAAGGCATAGACATTTGTCCTCGGTTTCATGATGAGTCCAATCAGGCACCATCAAGTTTGCATATTTTTAGATCTTTCCAAGTAAAATGGATAATAGGCCCCCGGGACATAAGCTAAAACAGACCAATTACTGGGTTATTGCTCAGGGAAAAGGGGTAGTATTGAAGCGCTGATGTTAGTATGTCTCTGGATTTCAATGTTATTTGAGGTGTAAAATTGGTATGATGGTTTGGCAGGGTTGAAGGAGGGAAGGAATCAAGGAATCCTGTATTTCTGTCCTGGTTTCATGAATTAGTGTAGAATGCTGAGATGTTCATAGAACAACAAATGAACCTAATGACAACTTTTGCAGAATGTGTCCCCATCATTAAATGATGCAGTGATTACACTTGGTGATGACAATTATCACGACTATAAGTTGAGGGATGAGATTTCAGGTTGTAAGCAAAACTGAGATATGTCCAAAGAAATATCTTGTGTGCCTTTCAAAGTCATTAGGTGAGAAATTCCTTACTGTTGGATGTTGGTAATGTAAGGGACAAAGATGTGTGATGGCCTGCTCTCTGGGGAACTAGAATCATTACAATTATAGAAGCCACATGGATGGGAAGTTGTCTGCGTTAGAGTCCAGTGCCTCCAGTATTTGAGGTTGAGCCTTGTTAATTATACTTGAGAAAGTGAATCCACTTTCTACAGAAAGATGGCATTCTTGTGTAGAAAGATGGCCTTGTTATACTAATTTATTCAACTCAGAGAACCTCTCCCCTGCCACCAATAATGTCTTGTTTATTTTGTAACTTTCTTTTTTTTTTTAAATATTTATTTATTTATTTATTTATTTTGTGTGTGTGTGTGTGGCCAGTTCAGCCCAGCAGGGGGCAGGGCTGGCTGGCATGTGGTGCTGGGGATTGAACCGCGGTCCCTGTGCTTTTGCTTAACTTGTTCTAAGTAGGTGCTGTAGACCACTGAGCCATCTCACCAGCCCTATTTTGTAACTTTCTGATGATCATTAAAGATAAGATATATTAAAAACTCAATTAGATTTTTCTTGGAGTTGACATCAAACTAAAATCAGCTAAATTTAACTATAATGTGATTTCTCTTTAAAATATGATATACTAGGGCCAATGAGATAGCTCAGTGGACTAAGTGCCTGCTTTGGCAAGTGCAGGGACCAGGGTTCAATCCTCAGTCCCAAATGCCACACCAGGCACCCTGAGCCTGGGACCAAGTCTGGGCGTGGTGGCGTACACCTGTTATCCCAGCTCTGAGGAGGCTGAAAACAGGAGGATCACTATGAGTCTGAGCTGCGTAGTGAGACCCTGTACCAAATACATAAATGAAAATAAATAAATGTGTTATACTTCCTATATCAGTGTCTATGTGTTTATAAGTCTTGAAATCAGAAAATGGGTAGACTTTTAAGAATCCTTTGTTGTGTTTTTAATTCTTTATCCTGGAAATTTTTAATATGAATGGAAGTAGAGACATTAGTATCATGAACTTTCATATGACCTCACATAGCTTCAAACATTCAGTGTTTTGCTAGTCTTCTTTGATGAAGCAAGGCAAAAGTAGTTCCAAGTTTTGCAACAGTTCCTGAACTGAATAGTGCCGCTGATTCTCATTCTACTACAAATTCTTTCTATCTCAATTTGCAGAAATCCCAAAGAAGTCATCTAATTAAGGCATTGCATACATTATAAGACAGGCATTGTGGTTTGACTATTTAAACCTACATAGACTGCTTCATGCTTGAATTTCCTGGGCTAATACTCTGTTCTGCTTTTTAAAGGTAGAAGGAACAGCCTATCTAAGTTCTTTTATATGGAAAACTCAAAAAATCGGTCTGTGGAGTGAACCTCGGGGAAAGAACCTGCTAGATGATGGGGCACCTTTCTACACAACTTACAGGACAGCAGATGGAGAGTTCATGGCTGTTGGAGCTCTAGAACCCCAGTTCTACCAGCTTCTGATCAAAGGTAAGTAGCTGTCATATGCCTCCTCTTTTGCTATGGGTGTTCTTTAGCCCTTCTTATTGTGTCTTTGAATTTTATAATGTCTTTCATTTTA